AAATAGTCAACTAATGGGATCTTACCTTATTAGAAAGCTTTTACACAATAAAAGGAATCAACAACAGAGCTAAAAGACAACCCATCAAGTGAATAAACATATTTTAGGCACTTGTTCCTCAAACAAAGGACACAATCCATAAATGGGTATCTGAGATGAATATATCTCAGATGAAATATGAGCAGCATATAAATATATAAATAAATGTTCAACATTGCTGGCCATTCGAGAGATGATAATTAAAACAACACTGAGATTCTGTCTCACTCCAGAAAGAATGGTCATGATCACAAATCAACCAATACCAAATGCTGGTGGAGCTGCCTGGAAAAAGGAACCCTTTCCCACCATCAGTGGGAGTGTAGACTGGTATAACCACTGTGGAAATCACTGTGGAGATTCTGCAAAACATTAGGATTAGAACAAACATCTCAGATGAATCACATTTCTCATATGAAAAAATACAAATGGAAAATAAATGTAAGAACAATATTCAACATCACTGGTCATTAAAACAACACTGACATTCCATCCCACTCCAGAAAGAATGTCTATCAAAAAGAAATCAACCAATGACAAAGTCTGGATGGCTGTGGGGAAGGACTCTTCTCCACTATCAGGGAAGTGCACACTTGTACAAATACTTTGGAAACCAGTGTGAAGATTCCTCAAAAGCTAGGATTACAGATCCCACTTAACCCAGATATTCCCTTTCTGGGTTTCTTCCCAGAAGAATAAAAACATCAAACCATAGTGATATATGTACTCCTATGTGTATTTATTTAATTATTTATTTTTATTTAGATTTTTAAAAATTGGTACAGGGTCTTGCTATGCAGCTGAGACTCAGTAATTCTCTTATCTCACCCTCCCCAGTGCTGGGATTACAGGCATGTACAACCACACCACTTTTTGTGGCTGGCATGGCTCTGGGTGGGCATGGTATGCAGTACCCAGGATTGAACCTGGGGTCCTTGTGTTTGACTGGCAGGTGTTGACTGCTGAGCAAGTTCCCTGCCCTGTACTCCTACATTTATAGAAGCACAATTTGGCACAGCTAAATCTTGGAAATGACCCAAGTGCCCACCAACAGAAAAATGGATAAAAAAGATGTGATCTTTTTCTACAATGGAGTACTATACAGTTGTAAAGAAGGATAAACTTCAGACTTTTATAGGTAAGGTAAATGGTTGCAACTCAGGACTATGCTCATAAGTGAAATCAATCAGATTTGCATGTGTAAACATCATATTGTCTCCCTAGTATGAGAACCTGACAGTATAAATAAGATCCAAAATGTATAATACATATTGTGAAATGGGAAAAAAATTGTTCACAAGGAAAAAAAAAAAACAAATGAGGTGGGAGAAACAGGAAAAGAAGGGGGGAAACATACTCACACAAGACAGCGAAGATAACCGTACTACCAATTTCTATTGGCTTATTGAAAGGACTAGGTAGTGCCTAATTGACCAATTCTGTGTGCCTATATTTGGTAATTTGAGTAACTACTGTGAAGGTAACAATATGCAGTGTAACAACCACTGTTAGTTTCCTATCATATTGTTTTGAAATTCTGTAGAGTTTTTACAGTTTAATTCTCTTTAAAATGAAAAAGGTCAGAAGAGATAGCTCTGTGATCTAAGCACCAGAATGACAAGCACAGGGATCTGGGTTTGGCCTCTGGCGCCACACGCCTGCTGGCCCCGCCCCTGAGTGCGCTGAGCCTGCCACTGAGACTGGGCATGGCTGCTCATGCCTTTAATCCCAGCACAGGGGAGACTGAAACAGGAGGATCAATCATTAAGAGTCCAAGCCGCATGGTGAGACCCTGTACCAAATACATAGATAAAAACTTTTTTTAAAAAAGAGTAAAGAAAATAAAAAAATAAAATGAAAAAAGTTAGAAATGAAAAAAAGCAAAACATTACAACTCCTGTAGGGATCTAGAAAAGAGGCAAGTGGTGAGATATCTGAAGCAGTTCTACTTTCTGTACTGTTTCAAGGATTGGAAAATTCCAGTGCAAGAGAAAGAGAAAATCTCCCATGTTGAGTGGACAATTTTAGAATCTTATTCATTAGCTAATTACACTGTGATCTACTAAATAACGGAGTTATGGCAATAGCTGAACTTTTCTATATTTTCATTCCTTGCAGGAATAGCAAACCATTATTATTTCTTCAATTTCCCTTTTTAGCTTTGTGGAAAGACCCTTTATGGGAAGGCAGTAACTGTCCACCTACTTACTCTTCTGAGCCACGCAATTTCCATCTGACATACCCGACTTGACAGACACTGATGCACTTTATTATCTAAGCATCACATCCTATAACTTCTAAGATACAGAAAACAGCTTAAACATTTCTCCTGCATACAATAAGAGGGAGTGGGGTTTGGGAACAAAATGCAACAGAGACAGGCAGGTGTTTTCAGGACCCGGAAAGGTGATCTTCTGTCTGTGTTCTTCACGCTACCAGCAGCTGACCCGTGAATGCAGAATTTCTTTCTCTCACTAGGGCAGCAATGATGGTGGACCCCTGCCGTAAGCTCTCCTGTAGCTTCTGTGTGTCCTAGAAATAAAGGGAAACAATGATTATCTCAACAGAAAATGTGCCACGCATTACATTTTATAAAGAGCCACTCTGCAGTATCTGCTGCTCTCTAGACTTGACATTGCATGAACTTAGATTTTAACCCCTGGCTGGGACTGAGTCACCCACATAAAAGGGAAGTGCTTTTGCAAGTGCTTTTCCTTACAAACAAGAAGAAAAGAAAGTTTGCTAAAGATATAAAGACACAGACACAATTTCAAATGTGAGTCAAAACAACCAAGAGATTATTTTATCTGTCTGTGTATTTATGTTATATATAAATATACAAATACATGCACACAAATTAAGATAGCTATATTACTATTAGTTAATTGAAAAGAAAGGATATGCCTATGTTTTTGACCAATTTTTCATGTCTATATCTTGTAATATGAGCAACTACTTTGAAAATAACAATATGCCATGCACATATTGTCACTCCCTATGATCTTATTTTGAAACCTTACACCATTGATTTTTTTTTTTTCCTTAAAAAAACAAATCTCCAGGTTACAAGATGGGCTCACTTAAAAGCTCATGGTCAGCACTCTCTGACCCTCGGCATTGCTTTTAATGTCTTCTTCTAGCCCCAGATATCTGCGTGAACTTCCCTACCATCTATTGTATCCTTACACAGTAGGATAAGTCATTAAGACGAATGCCAGCATAATGCCTTTGCCAGCAAGTGACTGGAAAGGTCTCATTAGCAACTTCCCTAAAATCTTTCCCTCTGTTTCATTCTCAGAGCAATCAAATATGCATGCTAAAAGATAGATTTCACTGTCCTGCCTGAAATCCCTTCAAGGCTACCTTCGAGTCTCTGGAGAGACTGACCCCCTCTATGCGGGTCCTTCTAGCCTCCTGACATTCCCTTAAAACCACCCCATCCTGCAGGCCACACAGAAGTGCTTACACTGCTCATGCATGCGGCTTTCCTGAGCTTGATCTTTCTACACCGGGTGATTCATTTGCCAGCAAAGCTCTCCCAAACCCTCTCAGCTTCACTGAGTGTAACGACCCTGTGGCTCAACCCAGGTACCCATGACCCTTGAAACGTGCCCTGATTCCGAGCTGCTAACCCAGTGTGGATGAGGTGAATCTGTTTGCTCAGCTGTGAATTCCTCTAGCGTGCTGCATTTTCGGTGGCTTTTTCCTGTTGGCTGTCTCTGCCAGCAGATGATGACTTTCATAATGTAAAGCATTTTTTATTTTATCTCTGAATATGGAACACTTAGCCCAATGCCTAACACATGGTGGCACTCCATAAATTACAAGGAATTCAAAGCAGGGGAGGCTCTGACTCTGATCGAGATATCATCACCCTTTCAGTTAACTCATCTGTTGACACTGGCTATTATTTGGTTACTTTGCGTACCCCAATTTGAATATTAAGCCGAGGCCTGGCAACAGTACAGAGAGAAACACCTTTGAAGTTTGCCTACTACCGGGAGGCCCCCATCAGGTGGGCCCTGGGTTCCTTCTGCATGAGAACGTGGCCTAGGCTGCTCTTCTCCATGAATTTCCCCTAGATTCTAAGGTGTGGAACCGGAGAACAAAGAGCTACTTTGTTTCTTATAAGAGCATTTCACTGTGATATTTCAATACTGTACTTCAACTGTTTTTCCTGACTTGCAGAATATCCTAAAGTTACACCACATAGAAATAAATCATACTTGGCCAAGAATATTTAAACTTAAAATGAAATATGCTTATATGGGAGATGAGTATTACCTATGACACATTTGTAAACACTGAGGTGAATATTCTAACACTAAAAAAAATAAGTAACAATTGGTGGGCATTTTTCATATCCATGATCAACTGGCTACAAGGATGCAAGCTCTATATATTTGCCCTCTAGTCTCATTTACTAAATTTAAACACAACACAGATGATGATAATTAATGCTTCCTCTTAAAAATAAGCAGAAAAAGTCTACCTTGATAGCCTTTTTGAAACCAGTTTATAAGAAGAAAGGGGCACAGTAACAAAATGGAGATTTAAAGACCGATTAAAGATGGAAAGAGATGTCTCCTCAGGAAACTTTCCTATAAAGATCAGATAAACAATTTATGAATGTTGAACTCATCTCAAAAGGCTGTGTCTCTAAAAGAGTACTGATAACACAGGAAAATGCAAAATCAACTACCTATCCTCAGAAATTCCTTTGATGATTGGTGCTGGTAAGCATTTTTACACACACTTTTTAAATACAATCACATCTAAATATTACTTTGCTTTAGTCACATGGCTATCACTAAAATGACAAAAAAAAAAAAAAAACCAAAATGTTGGCAAGGATGTGGAGAAAAGGGAATCACATTTCTTTAGTACATTATGCAGTTGAAATGGGTGAAGGCTATAGAGCCAGATACTGGTATTCATACATCCCACCCTGAGCAATTGCTAGTAATTTTGATTACTGAAGGTACACTTCAACCTGAAGTGTCTCTCAAATCCTCATGTGCTAAAATGCTATCACCAGCCAGAGCCTCCGCAGGAGGAGGAGTCTAACTTTCAGTAGGCGGGGCCTGGTGAAAGGAAGTGAGGTCATTGGTCGCAGGCAAAGACTCCCCTGCTACTTTCTCTGTCTTTGCCTTCAGGCCCCCAGGAGGTGGAAAGCTTTCCATGTGTTTATGCCAAGATGTCTTTCCTCACCTCATGCCCAAAGAACTGGAGCCAGCTGACCATGGACTGAAATCACCAGAAAAGTGAATCTTTGCTTCTGTAAGTTTTCTATCTCAGGCACTTGTCATGGTAGGAGAAAGGTAATGCATACGCCATCTTTTCATTTGAAAAAGGAATAAGAATATTACCTACCTCTCGGGGTGGGTGGGCTTTTTTCGAAGGAAAATAAATTAGATAAGACATACATATAAAGCATAGAAATCTCACAAATATTAAATAATAATGCTGTAAGAAGTATTTTGTGGAGTTTTATGATTTCGGCTATGATCAAGTAGCCCATATTATTCTTTCAACATGCATAACAACTAAATCTGGAAAAATGTGCATAAAAGATATAGATGGTAGTTCTTCGATAATGATAAATGCATGTCTGTAATCCTTGAAAGAACAGCACATGCCGAGACTTTTTTCCGAAGTACAGAGAACAAAAATAGAGCTCAAATACAGAATAGTAGGATCTCTGCATAGAAAGATCAATTAGAACTAGGTAGGAAGATGGCTTGAACTTGTGCAAGCAAAGTTCCTAATAGGAAGCAGGCATAGAGAAGGCCTAATAATTTGCTAAAATCTCCTGCTTGGTCCTTCCTCAGCTCCTAACCACACAACCCTGAGAGACAGTCAATGAGGGGTTGGACAGTAAGTGCTAGCAAGCTGAAGAGCAGAGAAGAGACAGATCCGAAGACCTGGGGGAGCACCCCGACCTTCCATGCAGGTCTCTGAAGGGTCAAGACTGAGACTGAAGGCAAAACTGGGCTTGATCTTCCCAATGAAAGCTTACAAACTTCTGCAAGACTAGGTTTAAGAAGACTGGTTTCAAATTTTGTGTGTTCTTTAGAGGAAGCTCAAATAGTACAGTGCCTTAATAATATCTTATAACTAAAATGTAACACACAATAATAGGATTGAAGAGCCAGCCAAATAGCTCAGTGGACTAAAGCACCTGCTTAGGCAGAGTACAGCGGCTGGGGTTCAATTCCCTGCATGCCGTGCCAACCCCACCCCCAGCTGTGGCGGAGCACCCCTGTAATCCCAGCACTTGGGAGGCTGTAAACAGGAGGATCACTATGAGTCTGATCTACACAGTAAGACCCTGTACACCCTGTACATCCTGTCCTAAATACAAAAGATAAATAAATAAATAAAAATTAAAAATAATAGGATTGAAGAACAAAAGAAGCAGAAGGGAAAGAAGCAGAAAAAATAATGCTTAACTAGAAGAAAACAAAAATCAATTCAAGGAGATCCAAAAATGGTATACATATTGGGATCAGAAAGCAAAGATTTCAAAACAATTGATTTAACATATTGAAAAAAACAGAAAAGATTAAAATTTTTATTAAAGTAGAAAATGGAAATTCAGCCTAGAAGTAGAACCTATAATAAAGAACATCTTATCAGTATAAATATACTACTTGGAGACAGAATTAGAATGCCTTGATATGAAACAGGCAGCACAGCAGACAGCATCAGTAATCCTGAAGCTAAGTTTTAAAAACAAACTCTGAGATGAAGCACAGAAAGATAAAAATGGTGACTTTATATTACAATCATTTTAATGTTTTTGGGTGATTTTATGGAAACATTTTCCTTTTCCTTATTTGCCTACTTTTCTACCCAGATGTACTACTATTCCGGCCACTGCCTTCACCCTGCGTTTGAGTTGTCCCAGCTGCTAAGTTAGCTGGACATACTTCCTTCATGAAACAGACAAGAATAAATGGTCAATTCCATTCCTACACAAACAAATAATGTTATGCAATGTACAGAATTATGCATAAAATGGCACTTGAGGGGACAGTGCTGTTCTTGGGCCCCGAGGAGGCGGGGACACAGAGCACGGTGCATCAGGATGGAACTATAGAGTTCAGAGTGGACAAGAAATGCTTTGAAGATCAGAGATGATGCCTGGGTCTCACGGTGGCACATTACTGTCATACATCAGAGCAAAGAAGAATATTAGGGAAAAAAAGTGGGTATCCAAATTCTCATGTTAAAAATGTACAGAAAGTAAACTTAAATATAGCAATTGATTTTTTTCTCTGCAGCTCTGAGAACACTAATATCCAGGGTTCAAGTTTACCTCAGTTTTAGCTCATCAGCCATCAAGAACACGAACAGCAAACACTTCACTGGTGCTTATATGTCCACACATAAAAATAATGAGCACACATTTGTTGAATGTAACAGGAGACTATTTTACACTATAAGATGCTACATGATATGAACAAAGTGGCAGTGTGTTCTTAAATCAGTCTTCACTAACTTTACCTCATAACCATGCTAGAATTCAT